CATGATTGTGATAAGAATCCCCCAATCTTTGACCCTTCTCCAAGCTTGATTAATACTTTCCAAAAAGAGTGGCATGCCAAGATGGAAAGATATCCCCAAATCTTCCCATAATCGTAACAAGATTTGAGGGAATAATAGCACAAAATTTGAGGAATAATTTTGGAATCTTTGGCAGCCTATAATGCATGACAGTTCTAGGCCATCAATGGGCCTCGTGATCTGGCCCATTAGGAAAGGGTCCAGCTTGAAGCTCCTCTGCATTCCTAGCTTGTAGCAAGTATACTTCACGTGCTTTCACTTCTTTGAAGCCCATATTTGATAAGGTGGAGTTACTTGAGTCCTTGGAGTATTCAGCCTTGCTTGTTTGAACAAACCCTTGCATTGCCACTTTGATCTTCTTGGCCCGAGCTTTAGTAATTGGAGCCCCCAACACGTGCAAAGGATCTCTAGCTTGGGACTCATCACATTCCCTCTAAACCCTTCCTAAGATTCCAAAAATCTCTAGGCTACCCTACGTACTCCTCCAATCCATCAAATAACTCCATTGACCTTTGGATTCAAAAGGGGATTTTGGTCATGGCTTTGAGGAAGGTTCAAATTTTGGTTTCTTTAAGCGTTGGTTCTTAGTTTTCTTGGATGTTTGGCTTGATTTTCTTTGCTTCCATGATGAGTATGGTGCTGGTAGGAATGGCTAGAGCCATGGGTTGTTTGCCATCGACGACCAAGGATTCAGCCAAGTCCAAAGAAAAATGAAAGAGGTTGTATGTGATTTTTGATTCTAAGTCTGAACCTGAGCTACCTGTGCCTAAGAAGAGGAAGAAATCTGAGTATAAGGATACCATTGAGAATAGAAGGGTGATGTGTGAGTTAATGGTGGATGCTGGTGTTTTGGGAATAACGTTGTCAAGAGGAAGATTCTTGATTATGGGCTTGATTTCTTTTTCAAGACAATTGAGGGCAACATTTTGTCCTTTGTCGAGACTTCTATATTAGGTTGACTATAGTTAACAGTGACCTAATGATTTTGAGGACTACTATCCGTGGGAAGGTGATAGAGGTCACTCCTACGAAGATGGAAGTATGTAGGCAATAAGAGGCCTAACCCATCTAACACTAATTACCCCTGTTCTAAGTATGTGATGAAAGAGGCTGAGGCATATGTTGCAGAGATGTATGATAGACCTGAGCAGTTCAGGGGTATGTTTGTTCGTGGCAATTTGGATGTTGAGCATAGGATGTTGAATAAGATCCTCTACTACAATATATATCCCAAGGGCTTGGAAAAGAAGCTTGGGATGGCTAAAATTGTGCTTTTATCTGAGTTTATGGTAGGTTCGAGGATCGACATAGCCTTAATGATTTGGGGTGTGTTGAGAGACAAATGTACAACAAAGAAACTAAAAGGGAACACGCCCTTTGGTAATATGGTTACCAAGTTCTATCTGGGAGCAGGAGTGAAGAAGTTAGCCTCTGA